GAGTATAATATATATTTTTGTTACGCAAGTTTGAACTAAACAATAGGTCATCCTACTTCCAATATGGCCGATGAGTGGAAGGCGCAAACAACGACACATTTGAACACGCCGGAAGAACCATGGACTTAAAGGACGGTGCATAGTCGAGGGGAACGGCTCCCAAAAGCGGAAGGGGAAAACAGCTCTGTTTGAGCCAGTGATGTAAGATTTGCGGAATTTCGATCGCCGCGCGTACGGTGAGGAAAAGTGGAACTAAAAGTCTTGAGTCTCTCCTCGGTGGTAATCTCTCCTCGGTGGTTGAACTGAACAGGGCATGTCTCTGTTCGTTGGTTCTGGTAAATGCTAAACGTTGAACTGAACGTGTCAGATCCCTGCAAAATTTAGCTTTGGCAGCACCATCGAATTGGGGACACCGAAACCTGGGCCGTGAGCACTCTCATTTCCTCTCTGGTATTAAAGAAGGCTGTGATAAAACGCTGTAACGACCATAGGTCGTCCTTCATTCGATCTGATCATTGATCGTTCAACATTAATCATTCGACCATTCGAGTCTGTTCGAGTCGAGAGTTCAACCCGAGACTCATAGAATTTGTTCACTCTCTCGTTACTGTTGAATAAAGTGTTGTTAACCCAACATCATTGCTTTATTTGTACAATCCGACCTGGAGAAGAAAAGAGTGAATTTGAGGCCACAAGCCTCCGTGGACCCCACATTGGGGTTACACGTGGCGCCATCTAGAGTTCACGACCAGAAGCGGGACGCTTCCTTCTATATCGATGTTCCTCTTCACTCTCTAATAGACGAAGCCCTCCAAAGATGGCGCTACGGTTGAAATTGCTGAAATCTTACGACACTGGTTCGACGATCGGTAATTAAGTTCATGGAAATTGGAAATCCTTCGAACATCTGTCTCTTACGCGTTTATACCTTTTCTTTATCGTAAAACGTGTTTTTGAAATTTATATCTTCATATGTAAAACGTGCACTCTGATTGTGCATGATATACCGTGTTAGTAATAGATGAGACATCTGGCCTCTTGGTCTAGGGGTATGATTCCTGCTTTGGGTGCAGGAGGTCCCGGGTTCAAATCCCGGAGGGGCCCGTTTCTTTTGATTTTTTGTACGCACCATTACTTTCTAATTCACCTCTATCGGCACACGCATTCGTCAGCAATTAATACGGGTGGTCCATTTCGTTTCTTAACGAATTCTGTAAAAGTATATGTATAGAAAATGTGTACGTCACGGCGTTTCACCGTTCTGATTCCCTTCGTTCGACTCCTCCAATTTTATCTAGCCGCTAAAATAGTTTTCAGTTGACTCGCGATCCTGTGCCAAGCGTTTCTCAACGAATGAGACGAACATACTTAATTAACGAACAATCGCACGTCCGCGTGATCGATGAACCGTACGTTACAAGTTTTAAATCGCGCGCGCGACAGATATGATTCCCTACTCCGATGGAAGTCGAAATGGCGGACGAGGCGTAGCGCGCATGCACCAGTCCCTCGATGGTCGGGCAAAAACACAGCTGGTCTATGATCTCCGAGGCAAGCTGACGGTCGAATGCTATCAATGTGATTTTCGTGAAATTGTTTAATTAACGATCTAACGGTCAGATCGTGAGATCAAGGCAGACGTGCGCGAAAACGATTCGATCAGAGCTCGGCTGACAGTGTCAAGTGTACGCGTTTAGATGTACGCAAATCTCCCCGATCGCGGTGTCACCACGAGGATTTTTCACTGCCCTGGATACAAAGGAGTTTCGTGAGGTGTTTCGAGCGTCCTTTCGGTAAGATCACGGCTCGCGTCTATTTCACTGTACGCCGCGTTACCGTCTCCTCCGCCGCGTCCGTTCCGAACGTTCTGTTCAATTCGCAGAGACGAGTGACCTTTCTCGATGTACCCAAGCATCAAAGTAAAGCGGTCTACGTACGTGTCTCGCGTGTACACGATAGTTTCTGTGATTTCGCTCCTCTGCGTAGCATCGACGTCAATGAGAACTCGAACGAGAGGTGACGGAATCTGTTACACGCATCGCGGAGCGACGGCCAAAGTGAATTCGTGTACGTACGCGATCACGGGTGTTCGGATCCAAGAAAATTCCGAGGATGTGGCCCGCAGCATCTTCGTAAATAGGTCAGAACAAAGTTTTCGTAATCTATACTGTAGCTGCGAGGTTCCCGGACAGGTATCTCCCGTTCGGGAGACGAGAGAGATTCTTATCGCGCGTTATCACACGTTGCTCCCTTTGCGTGCGGGACCCTCGTGGAAGCTGCTTTCGTTATCTCGAACATGGGATCATAGTTCCTCCGTTCGATTTTTATCTCCATGGAACGTAACGCGTTTCCACGGCTGTTGACCATCCGCGAATGGGAACTTTCCGACGATGTCGCGGCTTCGATTTTCAACGACGAGGACTGATAGAGAAAAGCAGTTTCAGTTTACTGATTCTACAATTAATCTACACTGCTGGTCAGTCATATTTTCGATGACAAACGGTTGCACGTAAACGCAAACGCAAATGAAAGCAACTCGATACAAAGAGTTGCTTGCACAGATGCTTGCAATTATCGTACGTGTTGAAATTTTCATCTACTTGTCGCGTACATCGTCGTCGTTCGTTTTCCGTGATCGTTCATGTGCAAACACAGCTGTGCTCGACTCAGGTGCCGCGAATCGCGGCGTGTTCGTTGAACGACAAGTTTTTGGAAATTCTTAAGAATATTCTGAAGTTCGCCAAGTGTGTCTCGCAAAAAACGAAGCGAACGGCCAGGCGGTAATTAAAACTTTCGATATCGTTCGAACCGTTACAATACTCATTGCATACTAAACGAGGTCTTGAACCTCTGCGTCTGTGGACTATTTTTGTGTTCGCATCCGTGATGCTCCGTCACCACGCGCCGCCGTATCGAAGGTGGAACCCGACTGACTGTCGTCGAGCGAACCACGGCTCGTTCGTGCCGCGGCCCTTAGGACTCTGACCTTGCCCCATGCAAAACGATATTTCTCCCGTGCGTGGCACTTTTAATCGGTACGCCAATTAACGGAGCTACGGTTTAATTAATCGCTCGTCGGGGAGAAACGGGCCTGTGACCGTTTCGCTCAATCGTTATCGAGAATGAAAATCGATGTACATCGAAGCGTGAGATCTCTCGTAGACGTCACACCGGGAAGTAAGACTACGAATCGACGGAGTATGACGCGTTCCTCAAAGTACGTTTTATTACCGTCACCGGTTGAAAAACAATACGCTTTTCTACCTATTCCTCGATCGCATTCGTTGATCGTCTCGTACGTTTATCTCGTTGCGCCTACTCATTTCTCACGGTATCGGTGCCATTATCGTTGAACTTCGGACGTTTACTCTCGATCCTTAGTTCCTCGGTGTCGAATCCATTGAACGACTGAACTACGGACTTCTCGTGAACGAGATGTTTCGCAGGACAGAGACTTTCCGAGAGGTCGAACGGGAAAATTGAATCGTAATAAAGGCGAGCGACATATGCCGTCCGAACGATGCTCCTCCGCGGCGGACGTGCGCTGGGATTCAGACAAAATCTTTTCATCCACTTTCCCGGAACAACCTTTATAACGGTCCGCTCGAGTCAGCGGACAGACACAAAGAGCCGAACGAAGCATATGATCGGCGATGTATAAAGACAAAAGGCGGGAAGGGGGGGGGGGGTGCTTTTCGAGAACGTTAATTTCGATCGACCAGCTGTTACCACGCGATACGCGAATCTTTCGTATCGGTGATTAACCGGCCGTATAAAAATGCATAGCCGTTCACGGTGCGAGGTTCGGGTGTC